CTTGACCTTTACCCTTAACTTAACTCTGACCATTCAAAAAAAACCTAACTCAACCAATGAGAGAAGCAGACGAATTGTACCGAAGAGCGAAGCTGATGATCTGGACTTATGAAACTCATTGGGAATGAACGGAGGAAATACTTTAAGGGTGGTCAAGCTAGAGAAACCACAATGGCAATCCCAAAGTTTAAGTCACGAGTTAATTTGTCTTATTAATGTATTAAAATACTAATTTTTGGAACAGATTTAAGTTCCTTATCTTTGGAAGGTTCCTATTTAGTGGGATCTGTGTGTTTTTAATAGACAAGCTCTTGCAGAAAGTTTTTTTTTTATCTTGCATGGTCGCAATCTATGAGATACAACTAAGACTTTTTCTTGTTCCACAAAAAAATCCAAACGTTTTGATCATGATCATCATATTTTATTGTGCAATTTGCATTCTTGGCGGGAGGCATATTATGATTGTTGTTATTGATGATGCACAAATTGGCTTTGCACACCACCTATCAAATGACTGATAATTATTGCAATAGTAAAGGAGAGAGAGAGAGAGAAAGCAACACAAAGATTTGTAGTGGTTCGATCAAGGTGACTTATGTCTACTTTAAAGGGCTAGGATTGCCTGGTGTTTTTTTACTCCAAGGTGTATAGTGAGCAGAGAGAGACAAGCTAAGAGAGGGTATAGTAGAGGATGTGCTCAATTGAATGTGATGTCCCCTAAGTGTTGGCGGAGCTTACAATTTATAGTCGCTACTTAACAGATTGAGATGACTTATTAGTAACTAAGTGGCTAATTTGGTGGAACTGACACCTTCTTCTCAACAGATGAGATAGTTACAACGCTCCCCATAAGATTCAGTCAAAGGATGACGTGAGGGTTAACTCTTTTCAAGGAGGCATGGATGAGGCTCTTGGATGACCTTGCATGCTCCCTTGCTGATGTAGCTCCTCAAACCCTGATGAACTTGACTGGGCGTAGACCACTTTGGTCTGGACTTATTGAATCTCTCTTAAGTCGGGCTCTTAATTTAAATTGGGCTTACAATGTGGGTTGGGCCCTTGGGATTGACCCATCAGTTGTCTTAGCATACTCTGTGGTCCACCCATTATTTTTTTGAACACATAGTCGGTGGTTCAAGATTTAACTATTTAAAATCGTGTTATTGGTCTCAAATTTAATTATGTAAACATCATGTTAGTGGTACTAGATTTAATTATGTAATTATCAATGCATTAATCAATAAATTATTTTGGGTTCTTAACTTCATGCAAAGGCAGTGGCAATGATTTTCAGTATAAAAGTTTGAATGGTGGTCATTTTTGATATATCTTGTTGTGATCGTGCAGCAATTATGGTGAATAGTAAGGAATCAAACAATTAAGAAAGCAGGAGAAAATAACACACAGAGATTTACGTGGTTCGGCAATGTGCCTACATCCACGAGAGCGAGCGGCCGTTCTTTTTCATTATTGAAGTAGGATTACATCTTAAGTATTTATATAACCCTAATATGGACGTATTTACAAAAATACCCCTGTACCGTACCGCGGGGGCGTTGCCCCCGCACTCCCAACTAATCAGCGTCCCCTTTATATAAATTCCACTCCGGCATCTGCCTCCTTGCCATTATGCACACAGCAAATATAAGTCACACATACTCTAACATACCCCTACGACAGTGTATACTGGGGGTGAGTTAGCTGTGATTGAGAAGTGTGATTCTGACATAATATCTTCACTTGAATAGAAGAGATAACTGAGAGGTTAGGTTACGCTAAATATCCCAATTTTTATTATATAGTTAATAGGGTTTATCTGGATTATGGGTTGCTTTCAATGAATTGTGACGATGATGTAATGGACATGATTGATTGCTTATCACTAGACAAGGTTGCATAAGTATACTTAGAGCCAAAAAAAATAGTGTTTCAGAGCCAAGTAGGCTCCAATCATGCACTATTGAATGTTTTGGATGATGGATGTGTGGATGTGAATATAAATATGGAGAAAGAAAACAATAATGAAGATGATGAGTAAGAGGTTAATGTGGAAGTTGAAGCTCATGGTGAGGTGATGAGGATGTTGAAATTGATCCAGATTATTAGGACTTAGATGATAATGTCTATGGTATGAGTGATGATGAATTGTGTGTAAAAAATGTGGACACATGTGTTGAGTGGGAAGGTCTTAGATCAAAAAATGTTGAAAGTGAGATGAATAAAGAAAAAAAAAATGCAAAGTCACACATGAAGGGAGGTTGTAGTAAGTGTGCAGATGGATTTATTAAGGATATTGATTAGGACTGTGAACAATCCAATGGCTTGCAAAATATTGACAACTACTCTAATGATGACAGGGGTCCCAAGAGGCCTAGATATCCAGAGTTTAGGCCTGAAACAGATATGAGGGATCCCAAATTTGAGTTAGGCATGAATTGCGATTCCTCCAAGATCTTTAAGGATGCATTGAGAGAGTATTGAATTAAGAAAAAGAAGAACATAAAACTTGTTAAAAATGAAAGAACCAGGGTGAGAGCAGTTTGCAGATAAGGAGGCAAATGGATGATATATGCTTCCATGATGAACGATGAGGAAATTTTGCAAGTGAAAACATTTTATGATCATCATAGTTACGCAACCAGTTTTAGAAATACCATGTGTAACTCTGATTGGATTTCCAAGAAGTATGTTCATAAGATTAGGTCTGTTGAAAACTATCTTGTGCCGTCCATGGTGGCAGATGTGAAAATTAATCATGAATTCAAGATTCATAGAAGTGTAGTCTATAGAGCAAAGAGAAAGGCTTTGGTAATGATACAAGGAAGTCATGATGAATCATATTTGAGGTTGTGGGATTATGATGAGGAATTAAGGAGAACCAATCTTGGTACAACTATAAGTATGAAGTTTACTGACAAAGGTAGATTTGAGAGAATGTATGCCTATTTAGGTGCACTAAATAGGGATTTTTGGCTACATGTAGGCTTGGGTTGGATGGTTGCTTTATCAAGGGTCCATTCTCTGGTCAGATTTTGGTAACTGTTGGCATTGATGCCAACAATGGCATGTACCCAATAGCATATGCTATTGTTGAAAGATAAGCCAAGGATACTTGATTGTGATTTTTGGATTTGCTTATAGAAGATATTTCAGTGGGGAATCAATATGCTTGGACTTTCATATCTGACAAGTAAAAGGTAATTTATGCATTCCATATAACTGAAGATTAATTCAATTATAATATATGACCAATTGATGATTAGTTGTTATTTTTTCCTTTTATAGGGTCTCTTATTAGCGCTTGAGACATTGTTACCAATTCTGAACACTTTGTAAGAATTAATGTGGCCCATATGATTTGGCACATGTGATTTTATTGATTATTACTGAATAAATAGTTTGGGTCAGATAATGATAAGGTTACCAATCCTAATCTAACAGGTATAACTAATGGTTTCTGATAGGTAAAGGAGAATAAATGGTTTCTTGATATTCTACTTTGATGGAAATTGTAGTTTATGTTAAACTATGTAACCGGTCCTCTCTCTACCTATATATAGATACATGTCCTATCGAGTTATGTATAGTAAGAATAAAGGTCAAGAGAGAGAAACTGATTTCTAGGCTACACCAAAGGATGGTTCAATTCTTGATCTAGTAATTCAATTGGTTCAATGATACTCCTTGTCTTGTAAAAGTTTTGTCTTCTTGAGATCAAGACTTCAAGTCCCCCTCCAAAAAAAAAGATATATATAGATATAAAAGTAATTCAAGGTTTGCAATAATGACTCCAGGTATGTTGATTATGATATTTTAATTCCACACTATGAGTATGTGAAAATCATGACTATTCTAGATCTTGGAATTAATATTTGATTCATCTCTTTGATCAAATAAAGTTTTACACACATGACATGTGGTAGACATCTTTAGAACAACTTCAGGGAGTCTTTCAAAGGAAAAGTTTTACAGATGACATTTTTGGGATTGTGCTAAGGCTACTAATCTAAAGTACTTTGGAATAAAAATGAAGGAGTTAAAAGCCATTGACGATGATGCTTATGAGTGGTTTGTTGACAAACCGACTGCAAGCTGGGCAAGATCACACTTCAGCCCTTTCCTAAAGTGTGGTATATTGTTGAATAATCTAGATAAATGCTTCAATGCTTTTATTCTTGATGCAAGGGATAAACCCATCCTTACAATGCTTGAAACCTTTAGATGTCTACTTATGAAGAGATTTCAACAAAGGAGATAATGGATTATGAAATAGGAAAACCCCTTATGCTTAAAAATATACAAAAAATTAGAAAAATTCAAAAAAGATTCAACAAACGGTATTGCTTCTTGGGAAGATGATTTAAGGTTCCAAATTCTATATCATAACTATGGATTTGCAGTTACATAGTTATTCATGCAAAAAATGGGATCTCACAAGAATTCCTTGTGAGCATGCAATTTCTGCAATGTTTGAGAAGGGGGTAGAACCAGAGTAGTATGTTGATAACTGGTACAAGAAGGAGATGTATATAAAGCAATACGAACTTGTGATCTACCCTTTGAATGGACCCCAAGATGTGGCCAAAGATAAGGTTCTGAGATGTTTTTCCACAATTGGTGAGAAAACAGTCAGGTAGACCTAGAAAGGTGAGGAAGACAGAAGTTGGTGAACATCCTAACCCACATAAGTTGAAGCGTTTTCAGAGGACTCTAAGATGTAGTAAGTGTGGAAATGAGGGACATAATCAAAGAAGATGTAATGGCCAACCACCACCAAATAATTCCAAAGGTCAACAAAGCAAGGGTCATGGTGGTGGGGGAACGACCAAAAAACCTGTTCAAATGGCCAGTGAGTTAGGATCAATTGGAATGAGCTATGAAAATCAAGCACCCAAGCATACCTAAGTTGCATGTATGTGCATTTATTGGTTGTATTATATGACATAGAATAATGCCATCTATTGACTACAATTTGCTTATAATTCTTGATTGTTTGTAAGTGAGGAGAAGCAAGGGTCATGGGGAATCATCGTCTGCATCTGTTTCAAAGCTGACTACAAATTCAAAGGTACAACATAGACGAGTTGCACCACAAAATGTTCCACCAAAGTCAAATGGACCACATTTTGTCTTACCAAGTGGAAGGCTACTTCCAGGTGTAGCGCCATTTATGTATAGAGGACAACCCTGTACAACATTATCTTCTTTAAGAGTTGCAACCCCAAATCATACACATGCCAATGGTGGGGAGAACATTTCCAACACATACCTCTATGATACGTAATTACACTCTTGTTTGTCTAGCACCACTGATGGTGAAAACTAATGTTTTTGGTATTATATATCATGGGGTTGCTTTTGGACTAGATGGTTTAATTTTATTGCAATGGTATTAAATTAATTTTTTGGTGTTTTTATTTGTCATTGATTGAGAGTAAGTATTTTTCAAGGACCATTTATTAGGCACAAAAAATTTGACTTGAAAAATATATCGACATTGAACTGGGAAATACAATATTTAACAAACAGATAATCAATATATCTGCTATATTAGCAATTGGAATGAGCCATAACACACCCGGTACCGTTACGTTAACAATAAGTTTTTGAGCACATATACAACAAGTTTTTGAGCAAAAAGTTCACAAAATGCTACCCATTACAAACTTCTTCACCATCTTCTAGTTCATTTGCTCTGTTTCACCATCCTCAACTGAATTAGCAAAGAAAATGATGATGGCAAAAGTCCATGTTTACACCGGCAAGCACCCCAATCAGAACTTTCTCCTCCCTTCTTTGGTGTTTTCTAATTCTTCTTTTTTGCCCTTGAATCATCTGCCTTTCACCTATAGAGTGGATTAGCACTGTCCGTACACCAGCATCACTATTCAGACGGAGTGTCAAAGTTGTAATTCTAGAAAGGTTTGAGTATATCCGAATGCAGGATTCACTGTCCGGACGCCATTGACAATATGGACCATGACTGTGTGGGACGCGGCCAAAACTTTTCGGACGTAACTCTGACGATTGAGACTATTACATTGCTTGGACATAATTAGTATCATCCGGACGCAACTCTGACGATTTAGATTTTTTGAGTATTTTTTTATCTACTTTTGGTCACAATTATATAATATCAAAGGATCTTTATACCTTGGGGAAAGCTTTTGTGGCCCACCCTTTTTTTATCTGTGATTTTTAATCGAAGTTTCTTTTTAAAATTATTGAGAGCATAAAGAGATCGGCATGATAGTGTTCGTGTGAGACCTCGTAGAGCATCTCACTTTTTAAGGCATTAGTCATTACAAGGAGCAGACCCAAAAAATGGATAAAATCACTAACATCCCCTGAGATTAGGG